TTCTCTCTCGTTTTTTTTCTTTCTTTCTTTCTTTCTTTCTTTCTTTCTTTCTTTCTTTCTTTCTTTCTTTCTTTCCCTCTTTCTTTCTTTTCTTTCTTTCTTTCTTTCCCTCTTTCTTTCTCTTTCTTTCTTTCTTTCTTTCTTTCTTTCTTTCTTTCTTTCTTTCTTTCTTTCTTTTCTTTCTTTCTTTCTTTCTTTCTTTCTTTCTTTCTTCTTTCTTTCTTTCTTTCTTTCTTCTTTCTTTCTTTCTTTCTTTCTTTCTTTCTTTCTTTCTTTCTTTCTGTTTCCTTCCTTCCTTCCTTCCTTTCTTTCAATATGTCTCTCTCTTTCTCTCTCCTGTTTTTTTCTTTCTTTCTTTCTTTTTCTTTCTTTTCTTTCTCTTTCTTTCTTCTTTCTTTCTTTCTTTCTTTCTTTCCCTCTTTCCCTCTTTCTTTCTTTCTTTTTCTTTCTTTCTTTCTTTCTTTCTTTTCTTTCTTTCTTTTCTTTCTTTCTTTCTTTTCTCTCTGTTTCCTTCCTTCCTTCCTTTCTTTCAATACATCTCTCTCTTTCTCTCTCTTTTTTCTTTCTTTCTTTCTTTCTTTCTTTCTTTTCTTTCTTTCTTTCTTTCTTTCTTTCTTTCTTTCTTTCTTTCTTTCTTTCTTTCTTTCTTTCTTTCTCTTTCTTTCCCTCTTTCTTTCTTTCTTTCTTTCCTTCCCTTTTTCTTTTCTTTCTTTCTTTCTTTCTTTCTTTCTTTTTCTTTTCTTTCTTTCTTTCTTTCTTTCTTTCTTTCTTTTCTTTCTTTCTTTCTTTCTTTCTTTCTTTCTTTCTTTCTTTCTTTCTTTCTTTCTTTTTTTCTTTCTTTCTTTCTTTCTTTCTTTCTTTCCCTTTCTTTCTTTCCCTCTTTCTTTCTTTCTTTCTTTCTTTCTTCTTTCTTTCTTTCTTTCTTTCTTTCTTTTTTCTTTCTTTCTTTCTTTCTTTCTTTCTTTCTTTCTTTCTTTCCCTCCTTCTTTCCTTCCTTCCTCCTTTCCTTCCCTACTTTTCTTTCTTTCCCTCCTTCCTTCTTTCCATCCTTCCTCTCTCTGTCTCCTGTTCCTCTCCTTTCTTTCTTTCTTTCTTTCTTTCTTTCTTTCTTTCTTTCTTTCTCTCTCTCTCTCTCTCCCTCTCTCCTGTTCCCCCCCCTCTCTCTCTCTCTCTCTCTCCTCCCCTCCTCCCCCTCTTTCTTTCCTCTTTCTTTCCCTCTTTCTTTCTTTTCTTCTTTCTTCTTTCCTTCTCTCTCCCTCCTCCTCCTTTCCTTCCTTCTTTACCTCCTTTCCTTTCCTTCCTTCCTTCCTTCCTCCCTCCTTTCCTTCCCTCCTTTCTTCCTCCCCTCCTTCTTTCCTTTCTTCTTTTCTTCCTTCCTTCCCACCATCCTTCTTTCCCATCCTTCCTTCTTTCCCTCCTCCTTTCTTTCCCTCCTCCTTTCTTTCCCTCCTTCCTTCCCACCATCCTTTCCCCTCCTTCCTTCTTTCCCCCCTTCCCTCCTTTCTCTCTCTCTCTGTCTCCTGTTCCTCTTCTTTCTTTCTTTCTTTCTTTCTTTCTTTCTTTCTTTTCTTTCTCTTTCTTTCCCTCCCTCTTTCTTTCCCTCCCTCTTTCTTTCCCTCCCTCTTTCTTTCCCTCCCTCTTTCTTTCCCTCCTTCTTTCCTTCCCTCCTCCTTTCCTTCCCTACTTCTTTCTTTCCCTCCTCTTTCCTTCTTTCCCTCCTTCTATCCCTCCTTCCTTCCCACCATCTTTCTTTCTTTTTTTTTTTTTCTTTTTCTTTTCTTTTCTTTCTTTCTTTCTTTCTTTCTTTCTTTCTCTCCTACAAAAAAAATGTAAAAAAATAATAAAATATAAAATTTTAAAAAATTAAATAAAAACCAACTGACACTAATGGCAGAACTACCGGAGTTGCAAAGGTCACTTTTGCAACCGGGCCCTAGCCTTTCAGCACTGGGCTCCGAGAAAAGGGTTCTCGGGCTTGGGGCTGCTCAGTTCAAAATGCCTGGGCCTATTTTTTGTCCCAGTCCAGGTCTGGTAATGCATGTACAATATGTATTCTGTGTTATATGTATGATACACCAATGTGCCAGAACATTATGACCACTGATAGGTAAAGTGAATACCATTCATTATCTCATTACAATGAACCTGAAAGTGGGTGGGATTTATTAGGCAGCAAATTAACATGTTGTCCCTGAAGTTGATCGTTATTGTTATACAGGATTTGTATAGCACCAGCAATTTACGTAGCACTTTACAACAAAAGGGCAGATGGTACAATTACAGTACAAATGAATACAGGAAGGATCAGAGGGCCCTGCTCATTAGAGCTTACAGTCTAAGAGGGAGAGTCAATTGATACGAAAGGTAATAACTGTGGGCGATGGGCTGAAGGAGAAAATACATGTACAGTTGCTAGGTGGGGCCAGGATAGGCCCTCTCTGAAGAGCTGAGTTTTTAGGGATCGTCTAAAAGGGGACAGAGTAGGAGATAGTCAGACACATTGGGGAAGGGAGTACCAGAGTATGAGAGTGGCTCTAGAGAAGTCCTGGAGGAGAGCATGGGAGGAGGCGACAAGCTAGGGAGCAGGTGGTCTTAGGAGGAACGAAGAGAACAATTTGGTCAGTATTTTGAGACAAGGTTAGTAATGTAGCCGGGGGTAAGTTGTGGATGGCTTTGTAAGTAGTTGTAACTATCTTTAATTTAATTTACTGGGTGAGCGGAAGCCAGTGGAGAGACTGCAGAGAGGGGTGGCAGACACTGAACGGTTGATAAGGTGGATGAGTCTGGCAGCAACATTCATGATGGACTGGAAGTGGGTAACCTATGTAAAGGTAAGCCAGTGAGGAGGGAGTAGTCAAGGCAATAGATGACCAGGGAGTGAGTTAGACTCTTTGTGGTGTCATTGGTTAGGAAGGGGTGTATCGTGGAGATGTTGCCGGCATTGAGGCAGCAAGTTTTGGATGTGGGGTCAAAAGGATAGTTCAGAGTCCAGGATTACACCTAGCACTTTGCCATGTGTTGAAAGCAGAAAAAATGGGCAAGCACAAGGATTTTTGCGACTTTGACAAGGGCCAAATTGGAATGAATAGACAACTGGGTCAGAGCAACTCCAAAACTGCAGCTCTTGTGGAATGTTCCTGGTCTGCAGTGTTCAGGGCTGAGCAAAAGTAGGAACAGTCCATTGCATGGTTTCCTATGGGACATGTTCACATCTATGCAGTTTTCAGCCACTGCGTTTTTGGAAAGGGTCAGGGAATTTTTTAAACGCAACGCAGCATGTTTTTGGTTCAATAGACCTCAATGAAGATGTGTCAGAAATGTATGTAGTGTGTTTTTTTGGTGTTTTTTTTTTTAGGAAAGTATTGACTTTGATTTCGCTTTGTTGCAACTTTGTTTTTTGTTGCCAATAGGAAAGTCTGACAATTTTGTTGATGTAGTGCATCTTGGATGCTACTTTACACTCTCTGGCATTCAAATAGCATCAAAGTCTCATCCAAGTCGCACCCATCTAAAGTCACATCAAAGTCCATAATTTCCTACTGGCACAAAAAAACACAAAACGCATCAAAGAGGTTTCTTTAAAAATGCAGAACGCACTACAAAATGAGCCAGAAAAAATGCATCAATCGCAACACGCAGGAGTGTGAACTTAGCCTAATGAAGGAAAACTAGAGAACCAAAGAGAAGGTCATTGGTGACCAAGGCTCATTGATGCACGTGGGGAGCAGAAGACTGGCCTGTGTCATCTGATCCATTATAAGAGATACTGTAACTCAAGTTGAGGAAAATGTTTATGCTAGTTCTGACAGAAAGGTGTCATAACACACACATCGCAGTTTGTTACGTATGGGGCCCCATACACAACAAACTGCGACAGCCAAAGTCAAAACTGCCTACTTTGGGCTTGTGAGCGTCAGAACTGGACCACAGAGCACTGGAAGAAGGTTGCTTGGTCTGATAAATTCAAGAACGGTTTGAGGAATACAACAACAGGTTTGCGGTGTTGATTTGGCCTCCAAATTCTCCACATCTCAGTCCAGTCAAGCATGAGTGGGACATGCTGGAAAAACAAGTCTGATCCATGAAGGCTTGGCACTAGATACCCAAGCATACCGTTAGAGATCTATTGGAGTCCATTCCTCAACATGTAGGGGCTGTTTTACTGGCAAAAGGGGGACCTATGCAGTATTATGTGAATGGTCATACGGTTAAGGCTGATTGGTATATTTAATGGCCGGTTTACACCTGAGTGCTGTGTCACTCCCAAGAGTATACAAGCTTCTTTAGGGGAGTGTGGTGTATTTTTTATTCCTGATAGACTTCAATGGGAGTGCATGTGAAATGCTTGCAAATGAGAATTTTCCACACAATTTCTTGCTCCCTCTTCTCCTAGTAGGTAGCTTTCCATCAGCTAAAAAAAGAGCCCGAAAACACTTGAAAAACATACACAAAGAAAAACACTCCAAAATTGACTGATCAAGTGTAAATAAAGGCTTAGGGAGATCAGGCTGCTTTAAACGTATGCACACATTAACACATATGGTTATGTCACTGAGGTGCTCTGCATATAGGCGGCTTATTAAAGCAGACCTTAACTCCCGTTTTAAACCCCATCCCCCCATCAAGCAGAAATGTAGGAACTTTTTGTTTTTTCTTAGCCCCGTCCATCTGCCACCATTCTAGCCTAGGTCAAAATGATGTGTTAGTGGTCCAACAGCCTCATGGGATATTTACATCACATCTCCCAGGAGACTGCAGGATCAGCATACAAAGTGGCTGGGAGGTGAGTCACATAGGTTATCAGAGCTTGCTCTCTGCACCCAGAATTTGCAGCTAGCTAAAGAGGACCAAGTTGGTAGCACGAGGCCCACTTTATGGCACCCAAACTTTTTATTTTTACTTCTAATGCACCTCTCGGTGGCTGTGGATTGGTATATGGCAAAGGCTGTCTTTGTAAAGCATGTTATTTTTTAAATTCATTAGGAAATAGAGGTGGAGAAATGGAGGATTCTATTGTTTCTGAAAGGCCCGAAGATGAATCAGAGATACTGTTTTTGGAGGAAGAGGAAAGTCTACCAGGGTACATCTGGACTCAGGAAGAACACACGAAAGGTAACATTACCAACACCACTACCATGACCTTGTGTGGTTTTTGGTGAATTTAAAACCTGGAACCTTACTTCCACCATTGCTTTCTTTTGGCCTGGCCTTTTATCATGTTAATGTATTGCCTTATGTCAGGGCTGCCTATCATTTTTTGGATGTCCTCATCCATCATGTTCTTCTCTCTTTCTTTACCATGAAAGGTAGCATAAAAATATATTTGAATGTGGTTTATGCACAGCAGATGAGCTGCAGCCTCTGGTATTCTTCAGAATAAACATGAATTTGAAGGCATATATGCAAGATCTAGGCTCTGAGACCATAGGTAATTGGTTGTCAACTTATGAGCTGAAGGGGCCATCAGCAAAAGGCCACACATAATGTTCAATATATTGATATAATGTTTATGAGGACTGCAAGAAACTGCAGACCTAATAGAGGAAATGAGGGTTATAGACTGTGGAAATGCTACATTTTTGGATGGGGATGTGCTGCAGAAGACAATATGAAACTGGGAACCAATATGAAACTGGGAACATGTTACATGAGGCTAGTAGTGCTCAATCCTATTATTCTAATCAATGTTCCCACTACAAACTACTGAAGTCCGAGGACTGCATATCATATACCAAGGCCACCTGTGGCCCTTAGGCCACAGATTGGGCACCAGGTCCATAAGAGTGACCTGTTCAGATATACTCACAACTTAACCCCTTCTTGTCTATGGGTAAAACAAATCTTAATGTCTAAGCACAATTTTGCAACTTTGACATGTGTTAGCAAAACCGTACTTATCATCACAACTACTTTGTGCATCCAGGTGGATTATACCTTGTTTTTTTTCAAGACAAATTGGGCTTTCATTTGGTGGTAAAGGATAATGGGTATCTCCTGATTTTTTTTTTTTTTCATTACCAAAGGAAAAACTGGCCCAAAATAGTAAAAAAAAAAACACATTTTTTTTAACATTTAGTTGTATATTTCTTGCTACTACCATACCCTACCACCAAAGAACAACCCAAAATAATTTCTCCTGCTCCTGACAACTGCAGAAATACCACATGTGTGTATGTTAGTTGTTTGTACCCTTAGTACAGCACAGAAACATAGTGCGCAATTTGCTACTGACCCCGACCTTGACCCAAACACTAACCCTGGCACAGACCTAGATCAAACCTTGATCTAGGTATTTTTGTTTATTTTTTTTTTTAATTATTATTATTATTTATTTATTTTTATGCACACTTTTTTTTTCTCTCTTAAAGGACAGAGAGAGATACAATGCATCTTTGAGCTGAGGCTCTTGTATACATTGCTGCATCGTGATGAGGCTCAAGCAAGTAATAAGGGAGCTGAGGGATCTGCTACACACAGAAGGTTTTTTACCTTCATGCATAGAATGCATGAAGGTAAAAAACCTTGGGCCTTTACAACCAATTTATAGCCATTTTTTGAGCAACTCAAAGACAAATGTGAGCAATTCAGAAGCACCTGAAAGCACACTGAATGAAATCAGTTCTGTGTCTGATGCCCATGTACCCTTAAAGAATAATTCCAGACATGGCTATATTATACATAGCTACACTGGTCCAGCTTGGATCAATGTAACTATGTATATACCATACCTGGATGTTGTCCCTGGAAGCTGGAAATCACTGAAGTAGACAGCAGCAGTGATCTCTACGTGTTTCTGGGTCCCGAGCTGCATTCCTGCACTCCTGCTTACTGAACACAGGAGGTCAGCTGCTTGGCACAGCACCATTCAGAGAAAGCTTTGCATTTTTTGAATGAATGCAAACTGTACTCTGATTGGATGAGGCTGAGAGGTGGGATGTGATGCTAAACTTTCCACCTCATACAATCAGAGAACACTTTGCATTCATTCAGAAAATGCAATCCATTCTGTGAATGGTGTCCGTGTTGAGCAGTTGACCTCCTGACTTCACAATGAATCAGGCCGACCTCTCGGCACAGGACTCGGAAGCAAATGGAGACCACTGGATTAGCAGGGTCTGCTTTAGTGATTTCCAGCTTCCAGGGGCATTGGCCAGATATGGAATATACATAGTCACATTGGTCCAAACTGAACCAGTATAACTATGTAAAAATAAACCATGCATGAAATTCTTCTTTAATGGTGAATTTTTTATTGGTTTAATTTAAAGCTGTGTTAACAGTACATTTTCTGGAGGAAATGCTGCTTTGCAGAGACACTGTCAGTTTGCCTTGCATAAACAAGGCAACAATGTATATTTTAATGATGAAAATGTGAGTGAGCCTACATTACCCTACAAATATAAAGTTTTACTACAAGAGTTTTCTGTTTTCTATGTGTATTTACTGTATAATTGTCTTTGTGTATTGATGCATCCAGTGCTTCTTGTTTTTGCCTTTCAAGATGATGAATTTCCATATGGAGACACAGCAGACAATCTCCAGGATGACGATGTCCTTGATGAAATAAATGACAGTTTTTATTCTGACTCTGACTGGTAAGCACAGTATGTGACATCTGCCTGGCACACAGTCTCTGCTTGTCATGTGTTGGAGGACTGGGCTCTGTTGGCTGTGTTTTCAGCCTAGGTTTATGAAGCTCACAGAAAAACAAAATGCATGCAATAACCATTTGGTCTGCGCTCAGTGCCGTTTTTATGTGTTCTTCAGAGTAATATTCTGAACTGAGATGGGCCTGAATCTCCATAACTGCCTGTTCCGAGCAGTAGCATGTTTATTTATTGATTGTAAGAGAATAAAAAAGATAGTGAATGTTTTTTTTTTTTGCTTGAACTGCTCTGTGTGAGACAGATGATTCTTAAGGAGTGTTAGAAAAGGTCTAGCAAGGACAACGGCTCAATTAAAAGTGCATCATGTAGGAAAAAAATATTTAAAAAAAATAAAGCCTTTTACAAACAGCCAGTATTTTAATATTTTTAAGCTCAGTCTGTTTATACTGTATATTCTGCATTCTTTTATTTAAAGAGAACTACATTTTAACTTTTGAATAAAACAAGTCAGGACTGGTTTTATACAACAATCTGAATATTCAGTTTTAACTTTCAGTTTGAATCAGATGTTTAAGTCTTACTGTTTGTTTTCTTTAGAAAGCAACCACAGACAGAGTAGAAAAGCCTGTCCGCTGCCATAATGCTGCAGAGAAGGACCCCTGCTCTCTGTTTGGAAGCAGTGGTCTCTGTGCAGATACTCATCACGCCTCCTGCCAAGTCAGAGCTAGAGCTTTCCAATTTGCAAGGAGTGCAAGCTCTAATGATTGCAAAATTTTGGGTCTGACTCAGAAAAGTGGTGTGATGGACCTTTATGGTGAAACCACTGCTTCCACACAGTGAGCAAAGGTCCATCTATGCAGCATGCTAATAGAGAGCAGGCTTTTCTACTCAGAATGTGGCTGCTTTCCAAAGAAAAGGCACTGAAAGACTTTTTACACCTTTTGTTTTGGTGTACCTGGAAGGCATTTAACAGATTTGAACTGAAAGCTCAGTTGAGCGTTACTATCACTATGGAAATGTTTATATAAAATATTTTTATATATACCCCACTATCTCATTTGACTTTTTTTGTCTGAGCCTGACTCTTAGCCTTGTCAGGATGAGAGTTCACCTAAGGTTGGACAGTTACAGCTTTTACAGGCCAACATTCATTTTTAAAGGAACAACTGCTCTAGTTTTGAGGCACTGTGTTTTTTTTGTTTGTTTTTGTACAGTAAATTTGCTTTTGGTCTAAAGTCTCTCACGCAGTGCATGCACAGTAGATCATGCTTCTTATGTGGTTCCATCTGCTGGCCTCTATGTCAGTATAGGACACAGTTTTGACTAAGAAGCTGGTAGATGGGACCAGTGCACAAAGTGGAAGACGAGGCATTCAACACAACCAGGTAAGTGTTAGACCCCCACACACCTGCTGCCAATGGCAGCTTTGTATTTCAGGCTAATGAGGATTTTCTGGAAATTTAAGAATATACAGTCTTTTTTTTTAATTCTTTTTTAGTGGTATGTGACCAAACAAAAAAGCATGATACAACATCAAGTTCATAATTCAATACATTAGCCTCATCAGACATTATGAATACAAACATGGAATAAAAGGGTAAATCAACACTGTATCTAATACACCACATCAACAATTAAGTCCTGAGAAGCAAATATATACAATGGAATGGTCTGTGACATAAATTAAGTTGAAGAGGAGGCCATAAGTATTGCATACACAAAAACAGGTAAACAGTAACAGAAGGTAGGGGAAGGGGCAGTTGTCATATTGTCATGCATAAGGTTGGACAATGTGCCCAGGCCTCCTAGCAGTCATACCCTTCTGTCAGTGCACACCAGGTGGAGTTTATCAACAATTTTGGGTTAGAAAAAAGGACTCTTCAAGGTGTCCAGAGGGAAGGAAAGGAAGAATGGGAAAACAAGTGAGGGATAAAAGAGAAAGAAAAAAAAGGGGGAAGGTGGTGAAGGGAGAAGAGAGAGGAATCATGGAGGGGGCACGGTGCAAGAAGTCAATTCCACAGAAAGGGATACCCAAAATTAGCAAAAAGATAAATATTCACCTGAAAAGTGAAACATGTTTAAGCGGTCTTCATAACAGGATATTATTAAAAAAAAATATTTTAAATATTGACAACAGAGGCAGGTCGAAACACACATAGTTCAAGATATAGAAATCTTTTTAAATGTCCTGTACTGGAAACACACATCAATATAGGTATGTTTCTTTAGATTAATTGCTTTTACACAAATTGAAAAAAAATGTATTAGTTTAGAAAAGAGGTTAAGAAAATGTCAGCAGGTCCTAAAGTAGAAAGAGGCAGTATTAGGCTTGGAGGTAGGGAAAAGAACTTCTGCTGTATTTGTCCGGTGAATCTTGACATTGCATTTCTGAAAAATGACTGTTTTAAAGTGTGAATTTTCGTTTCTTTCAGGTCCAGTGAACAGCACACAGATCGATATGAGATAGTTAAAGGTTCCAGCTATCTCGATAAGGTTCAGATGTTCCGACTTCGCAAAAAACTGGACCAGCTGGACAGTTTCCAACAGGATAAGGAATTAATGCTTCAGAAAATCAGGTATGTTTTTTTACAGACTACGCTAGCAAGAGATTTAGCCTACCAGCTGTAAATTTACATCATGTGCTTCCTTAGGCAGCAGCTTTGCAACTGCTGAAATTAAAGTATCTGCACTTTGGTATCTTGTGTATTGATTCTTGCTAAATGTTTTCTTCAACGTTTTAGGTAGACAATATAATTGCATCGACTCTAATTATAGTGATTGACAGATGTAACCAAAGTACTAAATTCAGTTATTTAAAAAATACAGATTTTTTGAATAGCAAAGTTTTGATCTAGGACCAATGTAAGGCTTGAATCAAAGGATTTGTAGGTCTTAAGGACATACATTTGGGTGGCACTGTCACTTTTCTTTGAAAGAGTTCCATTAGATCTGAGGAAGCTACTTAAATAAGTAGTGAAACATCTTCAACGTTACAAGTCCATTTGAATGTGAAAAACAACTACTATCTAGTTCCTAAGTACCCAAGTAGAACATTGTAACGTGGGCTTAATTCTCTGAAGACAGTTGAATATGCAGGAATGAATGTTGGCAAAGGTCTTTTATAACAGTCTTGGGCCTCTTTCATACGGGGCAGACCCACCAGTGGATTTGTTTGCTCAGTGGCGGATGACAGGTCTGACAGATCTGTGATGACGGGTCTGTGCCTGCTCCGCTGCTGCAGAGCGGACACAGCCTGCTTTTTCACTATGGGGCGGTCCATGTCCACCGGAATATCATCCGATCCAGATCCCCATCTGTCTGTTTTTTGCATACGGGATCGGATGCCAGTGGGTGTCAGCGGACCATAGAGGATGGCCCGGTCGGGTCTGCCTGAAAAACTGATAGGCATACCCAATCGGACCATCAGTGTGAAAGGGGCCTTAGGCACCAACATGCATCAGATTAACAAAGTATGCTAGGAAGGAGAGCAAACACCTCTGGTCTTATGTATGTCATAGGAAGTCATAGTCATGATCAATTTTCTGCATGAGACTAGTCAACTGGGGTCTTTTGCTCATAGATCACAGATAGTTGCCTATTGTGGCCAAAATCAGTGAAATCATGCAACATCTACCTTACATCAGGATTACAGTATTTTAAAGTTACTTATTGCAAGTTTAGTATGTATTACATTCTTAAGCATGATTACATTGACATGAATGAGGTATATCAGTCTTAAATATATGTATGTTCTTTTGTTTCAGGGAGGAGCTCAGAGCATGCCAAGAGAAGATTGATTCATTGGAGCAACAGAGATCTAATGTGGAAATGGAGATTCAGAAGGAACAACAGGCTAATAACATGTAAACAGATGCTCTATGTGGGGACTGCAGATTGTGTAAACAGGCAGTGCATTGGTGGTCAACCTGAAAATCATAGAGGGCCTCATGTGGGGCACCTGATATTTCCAAACGGCTGCACAATACCGGCATATTTTTTGTGCACTGAGGCGCATTGCGTCGAGTTAGGCAGCACATTCAAAATGAAGGGCCTATAACCAACCTCAGTGCACAAAACGTTGGCCCTACTGCATTTTTGTAAAGTGTATTGCAATGCACACAGAAGAAATTAGAGTACAATAACCCTAGCATTGGTGTCAGTGGCAGTAGTAATAACCCCCATCATTGGTGTCCATGAGTGCAATAATAAACCTAAACGTTTGAGTCACTGGATGCAATAATACCTCACTATCATTGATATCAGTGTAAACAATCATAACCACCAGCCTTGATGTCAGTCAGTGCAAAAATTACCGTGCACCATTGGTGTCAGTGGATGCAAAAAATAACCCTCAATATTGGTATCAATGAGTCCAATGGTAACCCTCAACATTGGTGTCAGTAGGCGCAATAGTAACCCCCAACATTGGTGTCAGTGAGTTCAATATTAACCCCTAACAGTGACGTAAGTGAGTGCAATAATAACTCTCAACACTGGTGCCCACAATGGGTACAACAATAACTCCCAACATTGGTGTCAGTGAGTGCAGTAATAACCCACAACATTGAGGTAAGTGAGTGCAATAATAACTAGGGATGCACAGATACCATTTTTTGATCGACAAGTACAAGTACTGATACTTTTGGTCAAGTACTCGCTGAATCAAGTAGCCCCGAGTACTTTTGCAGTGTGAGTTTCATGGATGCAAATTAACAATAGCATATAATTTTAACAGGAATGATTTTCCTGTGACAGTGGTTTCTCCACTGCTCCTGTGTGAATCCAGGCTTGTCATAAGTTCACACAGGAGCAGTGCGGAAAACCTCCCTGCACCAATCCCACTAGCGGAGTGGGAGGAGAATGTGGGGATGTATACCTTGGCGTCGGCCAACGGAGGATGAAAGCAGTTCCCCATTCTCAGCTGTTCGTGGGATTCATTTCCTCTATTTGCAGGGTTGACAGTATAGGCTAAACAACGTTTGATTGGTACTGTCTCGGTGCTGACCAGTCAAAACCATCTAGCCCTTACTGTCATCACTGCAAGGAAAGGAGAGAAAGCAGAGGGGATTTCAAATCCCCACAGCTTTCTCTCCTCTACTACAGTTGAGAATCCGGAGTATCTGCCTCTATCCTCTGCCTGACAGCTGACACCAGTATATACATCCCCACACACCCTTCTCTCCCACTCTCCACTCACTCGCTCAGCATGGGATAGGTGTAGAGAAGTTTCCCGCACCGCTCCTATTACAAGCTTGGGTTTTACACAGGAGCGGTGAGGAAACCGCATGCGATTTGGACAGGAATAGCATTCCTGTTCAAATCACATGCTATTCTTTGCAGTGCAATATGCTTTTATACATTTTGTATTGACGTAAATTGCACAAAGTATCAGTTTGGGTATCGGGAGCATTTTCATGAGTACAAGTACTCATGAAAATACTTGGTATTGGCACCGTTATCAGTATCGGTGCATCTCTAATAATAACCCTCAACTTTGGTGTCAGTGGATGCAATAATAACCCTCCATTATTGGTGTCAGTGGATGGAAAAATAACCTTCGATATTGGTGTCAGTGAATGCAATAATAACCCTCAACATTGGTACATGTGGACGCAAATTAAAAACTCCAGCAGTGGTATCTGTAAACACAATAATAACACCCAACATTGATGTCAGTGGCCACAATAATAGCCCCCAGCACTGGTGTTAGTACTATTAAAGCCCCTCCCCTCCACATTGGCGGTCACTTGCAGTGAAATTGCTTCACCCCACCCCTTGCATTGGTGGTTATGGCAGTGAAAGTAACCACACACACGTCATTAAATTTTGAGACACGTATTCGCTATGTCCTGTGAATAGACACTACTGTATCACAAATCTCACAGAGCCCGTCTTCTGAACTACAGAGGTGCTGAGACAAGAAGTTTTAGGAGGCAGAGTCTGTACAAGAATCCCTGCTTGCAGGCAGCAAGGTACCATGGGATATGTAGACCTTAAAAATTGAAATGACACAGCAGAGAACAAGCTGCAAATCATGTAGGGAATCCAGGAAGCTGTGGAAAATAATAGACAACAGTCATGCAAAACTCACAAAATGAAAGGAGATTCTTCAAGTAATCTTATATTGTATTCTCAAAAATAACTACTGTTTGTATTGTTATTACAATACTGATGATAATAAATGTGTAATATGGGGAATGTTCAGTTATCATGGTAGATAAGTTTGTACAGTGAGTCCACAACAGGTAGGAACTATAGTTAAGGGCCTGATAGCCCACCTTTATAAAAAGGAAACAGAAAAGCTAAGTCTTTACAATGTGGGCTTCCCACGCATGGGGGTTTCAGCTTCACACTAAACAAAAATGTTGAGTCACGTGGCTCTTAATTTCACTCAACTTTAATTGCAGTACCTTGCTGCACATGCCTACTTTCAGCCCTTAGGTAGATGTTCTCCAGATACCCTGGGTGCTCTTACCCATCTGAGGCTCACAGATTCCTCTGGTCTCCTTGACTCTTTCCCAGTTGCCTCGGCTCTAGTCTCCAGACTCTCGCAGTCTCCCAGACTCTCTCAGATAGCCCAACTCTCTTGGTCCAATGGCCTCACCTGGATTACTGTCTCAAGTAGCTTGCCTTGGTCTCTGGCTAGGCGCTCACCTCCCTCCTGGCTACTCCAACTCAACTTCCAACCGCAGTAACTTTCATCAAGCTTTTATCGCCCCTGCACACCTGTGCACTCGCACAGGCTTCCAGCAATTAGAAAAGCCTGGACACCAAATTGAAGGTTCCTTCCCACCCAATATTCTTTGGAGCCTTCAAGCTCCCATCCACGATCCAGAACTACCAAATCTAGTGAAAGCATAGAATACCACTTTCTCCACTCACAATCAACCTGTCAGGGCTCCTCAAACTGCAGTTCTCCATGATTAACATGGATAAACATGTTGGAGGCATGGACTGGATGAATGTAGATGTGGCTGCTTTTATCTGTCACTTTTATGCCCATTTACATAGTGGCAGGGTCTCCAACTGTCACAAATGAAAGTGTGTGCAGGGACCATAGATTTTCCTTTAAGCCTTAAATCAGTTTACCAGCTGAGAAAGCTCATGCAGTAATTATGTGCAGTAACTATATCATTGATCTCTGATACCTTTCTGATGGGCAAAAGCACCAGAGCCTTTCAGCACATATCACCGGCCTATTGTAGTGTAAAGCTTTGTGCTATTTGTAAAAGGATGTCCATTTTTAAAAGCTGACATCCAAGGCTGATGATTTGGCATCAGTTCTCTGCAAAGGGGTGGCAGTTTCAAGCATTCCTACTGATTATCAGATAGCATAGGGGACAAATAGCAGCAAACACCAACCAATAAGGTGGTTGTTTTAATAAGACAAGGGGTCACTTGTTGCCCTGAACACATCCTGTGTGTACTATCAGAGAAGTCAGTAGGATGGCTGCATATAGTGCTCAGCAGTAGTTTGTAGGGGAAGCAGATCTCAAAATATGCTTATGAACAATGTCTGCCTATGGCCAGTAAATTCAGAATACAAAAAGTGTTAAACGTGTGTTGTAGTCATGGCTCCTCAGGAAAAACAGATGCTACAGGTGATGTAAGATCTCCCTGAGGTCCTGGGCTATAACACATATTTAGCCTCAGCATCTGCTTTATCTTGTCGGAATAGAGCGTTCTGGAGGTAAGATGCAGCTTTGTACAATATACTGCTCAGGAAACACAACAGTCTGTTGTTGTACATCTCCAACAGTGCTTCTTGCAGACATCTATTGAATTATAAAACTCAGTCGTGATTTTAGTTAATGTAAAACCAGGATCCTGTTTGTTTCCTACTTCAATTATGTGCTTAGTCAGGGCTAGCAAAATACATATTAACTGTACAGTACACAGGATGACAGTAGATGTCATTTCATTATATACATTAAGAAAAACGCCACTATTTCTAAACACTTGGGGAATTTACTAAAAGTGGCCAGAATCTGGAGTAGCTGTACTTGGCGACCAGTCAGCATCTAACTTCAGCTTGTGCTGCTGCTCCAGTTTTTGTTCTCTCCAGTCTTAATAAATTACCCTTTTGTTGTGTGAAATAGTAAGGACTTAAAGAAGACAATACCAGCCAGAAAGGGGCATGTGTAAGAATCTCAATCTTTATGCTTAAAAAAAAAAAAAAGTGTGGGCAAAGATTTTTTTGATCATACTTCTTATCTGGGTCACAGGATTGCACTTACTGTACGTTTGGGCTCCTGTGACCCAGAGTAAGGTTATAGCGGGCTATTGCCGCTGTCAGCTGATGTCACAGATCCACTCCAGCCTTTGGAAGGATCCCGACGATATTGTCAGGATACATCCAGCTGCCTGATTTACAAGCTGGCTCCGGCTCAGAGCTTCATACCTTCTCCAGCCAGGTGCTCCAGTGGGTGCTGGAGAAGTAGAGTGATCACATGACTGAGCAATCACAACTTCCTGCTGTCTCCCAATTGTGCTCTTATGTTGTCAACATTTCACATGTTCCATTGGTAGAGACTGCAAGTGGCCATGCTGACTCATATTGCACAGGCATGGGTCACAGTCATTGATATCCAGAGGCTGGTCCAGAGTTTTAATTTGCTGCTGGCATTAGGGCGAGTGCATTTAGACAGAAAGTTGCAGGAAGGGGCTGGAGGAGATCAGCAGCATCAGCAGGAAGATGCAAAAAAAGGATGAAAAAAGATTAAAACAGTGTTGTATGAACAAAAAAAATGCTAGATTGATAGACTGTGCTTTAGCAAACTAAATGTCATTTAGTAATGTCTTATATCTCCTATAAGTTGTTATAATTCTCCAGCCTTACCTCTCAGGGATAGGCGTGTGTGATGTTATTCACTTGTATTCTGTCTGCGTCCAGTCAGAAGGGTTAACTTCTGACATGTCTATTGCCTGACCATTGGATTAATAACAGACATTGGGGGTTATTTACTAAAACTTCATGGTGCAAAATCCTGGTGCAGCTGTGCATACAAACCAATAATCTTCCAGGTTTTTTATTGTCAATGCCTTATTGAGCAAGCTGAAGTTAGAAGCTGATTGGCTACTATACAAAGTTGCACCAGATTCTGAGTGCACCTGTTTTAGTAAATCATCCCCAAAGAGTCACGGGATAAGGGTAAAACTGGCAATTAGAAAATAGAAAATACTTTAGTTTTCTTGTTCTGACAGCACCTTGATTATATGACACTTGTGTGAATGTTTTTATCTGCACAGAGCTTATAATTTAAGGTTGCACTTTTATAAAAATATAAGAGCGATGAGTTTATTATTCCCATTGTTGACTGATTTGCCTTAAACCGGTTCAAATGAAGGTCATAAGGAGGTCAGGAGATGTACCTGTCAATGGATTCTGAATGATCTGATGATTCTGAATTATGTCAAACTGATGCCATCAATACAAGCCTAAAGCCTGTTGATACAGGCCCAAACGGTGCCTATGTTTCCAGATTGCTTTGTGTGGCTTTGTGCTGGATCTGTAGACCTGCAAAAACAAATCATCAGGGCTTTTTTTTTCTTAGAGAATAGGAGAAGGAACTCCCCCTATCTGAATCACTGCCCCCTACCCACCTCCGAGCACCGTCCCTTGGTTCCACCCGCAACCAACCCCCCAGTACCACCCTTATTAGAGAATACAGAACCAAGATAATTTTGCAGTGCTAAGTAATTTGTATGGAATTTGTTAATGATAATTATAAAAGTAGTAAAATAGGTCCCCTTCAGCCAGCAACAATAGACCCCACAACATCATTAGGTCCCCCTACAACAATAGACCCCTACAGCAACATTAGATCTGCTCTCCAACAATAGACACCCCCCAGCCACAATGGACCCCCCACAACAAAATACTACCCCAGAAACAATAGGTCCACCCCAGCAATAAAAGACACCTAGCAGCAACAATAGATCTCTCAGCAACCATCATCAATAGATCATCTCAGCAACCTCTCCCTCAACAGTAGATCCCTCACAGCAACAATTGAACCCCCAGCAACAATAGATACCCCACCAGCAATAATAGACCCCCCCACCAGCAACAATAGACCACACTCAAAAATAGATCCCCTCCAGCGACAATAGATGCCCCAGCAGCCAGAATCAATAAACCCTCCAGACCCAAATACCCCTTTCCATTACATACATTCAGTGCTGGAGGTGCCTGAACTGCATTCCCACTGAAAAAAAAAAACCCTGCAAATCATATAGGTTTGGTGCTTTTTGGAGTATTTTAACACAATAAGTCCTGGTTTTATGTTGCAGGGCTGCTGTGTTCCGTCTTCAGGCACTCCACAAGAGACTGAGCAGTGAGCTAATCAACGAGGAAGACGTGGAGTCAAAGATTGCCACCATGCTGAAAGATAATGAGTAAGTTCACCTGCCCTATGGCTGAGCTTATTATAGTAAGCTTTGCAGGAAATCTGTAATGAAATTCAGTCAAATACAATCAAATGTATAATGTTTGTTTATTTATGTATTTATTTATTTTACAAATATTTTTATTGGTTTTGAGAAATTTCACAAGTCAGGCAAGGACAAATGAGTGGTATAAATACACTTGTAGCAAAAAAGGTCTTAAATAATATGGAACAGAGTCAAGGTAAATAAAGCAGAGTATTTAGAACAAAGAGTGAATAACAGTAGTTTTAACTTGGAAAAACGTGGTATCAATAACAACTAAAAGGGCGAGAAAAAGATCATTCACTCATTATAATTACGATGTAATAAGAGAAGGGTAGGAGTGGAGATAAGAGGTACACAAAAGAAAAATATGCGAAAGAGTGGGAAAATTAGGCAAGGAAAGAGGGGGGAGAGTAGGAATTGGAAAGTCCGCAGGACCCTGTCAAACATCCATATCTCGTAATACTCAAATGTGTTTTAAAGTCCTCATTATACAAGGTCAACTTTTTTAAAATTTTTGTAGAGTGGAGAAGGTTTAAAACCCTGTCAGTATATATCTTCCTGCGTATGTCCCATAGCGTAGATTTGCCTTAATTTCCTGTCCTGGAGACAGAATATGAAGAGATAGTAAATCTCTAGCAGGCAGTGGCCTTTTACTTTTCAGGGTTTAAAGCAGTTGATTGCTCTACCTTAAATTTAAAATACAATGTTAATAATGATTTTTAAACCATAAAATTGGATCATAGAATTTTTATTTGCGCTCTCTCGTGGTAACATATTGTTTCTTGTTGGTAATTGCTGCAGACATTCTTTTTCAGTAACTCATCTTATACAAGATGTTCTGTTCACATTAGTTGCATGAGTCCTTTTGAACAGTGACTCAGTTAACCAATTCTGAGCTGCTGTTCAGTATGGTCTGAGTCACAAAGAAGTTCGTGGTGGGTTCTCTTTGAGGATAGCTAGATGTCTCATCACCTGTTTTTCTCTAGAAGATGTCTGTCTCTGTGTGTTGTCAAGAAACAATACAGGCTGTCAGTTTAAAAAAATTTGCAATGTGTACATTGTTTAGCAAAATCTGTTGTCAGGAGTAAGGTTGCTGTACGTATTTCACCATGCACGCGTGATGCCAAATCTAAACCAAAACAAAGACGGGAGAGGGTGTTGCAGGAAGTGCATCAAAGAAAAGTTGTCACAAACGCACATTTCCCAATGTTTTGTCTTTGTATGAAAGCTGGAACTACAGAAAAAAATAGTTTTGAATCGCCAGAAATTTGGTGAGTTTTTAACTTTTTTTGCTTCCTGTAGTAAGCTGCCAACATGTCATCTGCTGCCCTTCAATTCAAAGCAGTGTTTAAATTCTCCTATGCTAGACTACAGAACACCTCCTCTTTATGTTTTTGTAGGTGATGAGTGCCTGTCTGTTTTATGTGTCTTTGATGCAACATACTGCATTAAACACTGTTAAATATTCTACCTACACACTGAAATCTGAAGCAGTGTTACCAGACATGTCTAAGTTCTCCCGTGCTGGATTACAGAACTCCTTCTGTGTATGTTATAGAGATGAGGAAAGGGGGAAGGTGTTCTGTCACCCATTAGTGGAGAACTTTTATTATTATTATACAGGATTTAACAGTTTGCCAGGTGCTTTACAACATGAGGCCAGGCAGTACAATTCCATACAGTAGGAAACAGAGGGCCTAGGACAAGTTAATTAGCACTGTTTAGAAATTTAGGGCAGCATGCACAGTATTGTCAGGTCACTACAGGCAGGACCCTATTTTTCAGTACTTTTTTTTTAAAGAGGCAGCATATAGGGAAAATGTGTGCAGCGATGTACTGCACATGTGTTTTTTAATATTTGCCCACACATATTCTTTAAAAGAAACTTCTAATATACAGGATTTGAAACAGAAAAAGGGTGTTTATTTCAACTTTTTTCCATGTAATTAAATGTCCTCATTGGACAGGTATGACCTCTGGCATATTGAAGTGGAGCAGGGAAAATTTCAGGATGTTCGTGAAAGGCTTGAACAGGATGAAGAAGAAGACCTGAACAGACAGAACAAGGACTTGTCAGACCAGAGGGCTCGCAGAGAGAAAATATCGTTGGCTCAGACTAAGCACAGAAAACAGACAGAAAAACAGTAAGTTAATGGGGAGCAAGACACAGCAGAATAATGTCAGGCACTCAGCTCACAGGCAGCATAGATTCTTTTTACAACACATTGGGGGTTATCTACTAAAACTGGAGAGTGCAAAATCTGGTGCAGCTCTGCATAGAAACCAATCAGCTTTGAGGTTTTATTGCTAAAGCCTAATTGAACAAGCTGAAGTTAGAAGCTGATTGGCTACCATGCACAGCTGCACCAGATTCTGAGTGCACCAGTTTTAGTACATCAACCCTATTGTTTTTTTTTCTCCTTTAGATCGTTTTTTTACATTTTAACAGATAACAGTTATTTAAAAAAAATGTGTTATTGCTTTTTTTTTACCCTTTATCAGTATTAAATATTCATTATCTCATGCTCACAGCCTTAACTTCAAATAATTGTCACAGTAGGAATACCTGTGCTAGCTCTTAAATGAAACAGAAGACAGAAAGCAGGAGCTTGTGACAGATAGACTGTATGGGTATTTTATTAAAAGTAAATCTGTCTTATATTTCAGGCATAGTAATTGTCAGGTAACATGATTCTTTGCTCACAGCTTAGTTTCAAGAATGGGTTAAGCATAAAACAGGCTTATTATTGGATAGATAAAAAGTGGTGAATTTATTTCTCATATTTTTGATAATTTCAGGCAGGAAATGAGCAAGATGAGAGAACGGGAGCAACGGTATCGTAAAGTGGTTGCAGATGCCCAGAAGAATCATGAAAAAGCTGTTCAGTTCCTGAAGGAAACAATGACAAGGTTTTAAAGTTGTCACTTTTTCTAAAATAATTTGATCATTGTTGGTTTGGATCTTTTTTTGCCTTTGGCTTCTTATGTATGCTTATTCTTCTTATGTTCTGTTTACTGGAAACCTTCAGAATCACGAAACACCTTTAATCACACCTGACAAAATGTAATTCCAGTGTTCAGTCTGGATGTGTACAGGCTTGCCTTAGGCATGGCATTGGCCCACCGTCTATTCTTGTTGTAGAAGACTACATGGACAGAGCAGTACTCTACCCAGTAGGTAATTTTTTAGCCAAATTGAGTGCCCCTAGGATACTTATCCCAGCAAACTAGCACTGATGATTACTCCACTAGGAATAGTCATAGCCTCATCAGTACCTTATTTCACTTGACTAACACATGCTTTCTTGAAAAGCTGCCCATTCGTTTGCACATGTTGGCCTATCTCGAATGTATGAGCCAAACACAACAAAGCATTGCACAATATTTTTCTAGGCATTCATTGGTGATCAGGTGTGCTCATTTTCATTACATTCTCAGACTTAAAATCAGTGAATGATAGAGTTTGAATCTCCTATATCATACAAGAGTTGTACCTGTCTCCCTCACATCTTGCCTAAATGTAATTAGAAATGTTCCATACCTGGTCATATCATTCAACAACCAAATTCCATACATAGAGGTTTAGGAAACTTCAGCAAACTAAACCCACTGATATCAACCTAGAAGAAAAAATAATTTATGGATAGATGTACCCTTGAGAATGTTCTTGTAAAATTGTTGCAGAAGTAGCTTTTTATAATACAGCGCATGAATTATATAAGAATTGATACAATTTGCAGCTGTAGCCATTATCCTGGTATCATCATTTGCAGCCGGCAATGGGCTTTCATGTAAAGTGATCCAAGCAGCTCTACAGCCACCTGATCACTTTTACAGGCCAAGCAAGGGTCCTCCCTGCTGCAGACAGAGGAGAAGGAATAACATCAACCTTTCCCCTTCATCTGTGATGAATAAAGCTGAAAGTGGACTGTTTCGGTTGTATGTTTACTGGCCTGTCCTCAGTTTGATCGCCTGCCTTGATGGGCAGAGGAGAGACCCTATATTGCCAAAAGTATTGGGACACCTGCCTTTACACGCACATGAACTTTAATGGCATCCCAGTCTTAGTCCGTAGGGTTCAATATTCAGTTGGCCCACCCTTTGCAGCTATAACAGCTTCAGTTCTTCTGGGAAGGCTGTCCACAAGGTTTAGGAGTGTGTCTATGGGAATGTTTGACCATTCTTCCAGAAGCGGATTTGTGAGGTTAGGCACTGATGTCAGACTAGAACGACTGGCTCGCAGTCTCCGCGCTAATTCATCCCAAATGTGTTCTATCGGGTTCAGGTCTGAACTATGTGCAGGGCCAGTCAAGTTCCTCCACCCCAAACTCGCTCATCCATGTCTTTATGGACCTTGCTTTGTGCACTGGTGCGCAGTCATGTTGGAACAGGAAAGGGCCATCCCCAAACTGTTTCCACAAAGTTTGGAACATGAAATTGTCCCAAATGTCTTGGTATGCTGACGCCTTAAGAGTTCCCTTCACTGGAACTAAAGTTCCAAGCCCAAACCCGGAGAAACAACCCCACATCATAATCCCCCCTCCACCAAACTTTACACTTGGCACAATGCAGTTAGGCAAGTACCGTTCTCCTGGCAACCACCAAAACCCAGACACGTCCATCGGATTACCAGACAGAGAAGCGTGGTTCATCACTCCAGAGAACACATCTCCACTGCTTTAGAGTCCAGTGGCAGCGTGCTTTACACCACTGCATCCAACGCTTTGCATTGCACTTGGTGATTTAAGGCTTGAATGCAGCTGCTCGGCCATGGAAATCCATTCCATGAAGCTCTCTACACACTGTTGTTGTGCTAATCTGAAGGCTACACAAAGTTTGGAGGTCTTTAGCTATTGACTCTGCAGACAGTTGGCGACTTCTGCGCACTGTGCGCTTCAGCATGTGCTGACCCCGCTTTGTCATTTTACATGGCCTACCACTTTGTGGCTGAGTTGCTGCTGTTCCCAGTTGCTTCCACTTTGTTATAATACCACTAACAGTTGACCGTGGAATATTTATTAGCAAGGAAATTTCACGGATGGACTTATTGCACAGGTGACAGCCTATCACAGTACCACGCTTGAATTCACTGAGCTCTTAGGAGCGACCCATTCTTTCACAAATGCTTGTAGAAGCAGTGTGCAAGCCCAGGGGCTTGATTTTATACACCTGTGGCCATGGAGGTGATTGGAACACCTGAATCCAATGATTTGGAGGGGGGTCCCAATACTTTATCAATATAGTGTATCTGTCACTGCCCATAATTCTAGCACCAGAGTAATAATTCTAGCACCAGAGCTCATGTTTTATTCTAAACTGTTAAAGGATAAGTTCACCTTTTGTAACATGTTACACCCATATTCAGGGTGTAACATGTTACGATCAGACTGGCCCCTGCTCCTCCCCACTCCCCGCTTTGCTAGCTAGCGGGGGATCTTCTCCCCCCTCGCTAGCTGTCAAATTAAAAAAAGACGTGGCTGTGTGGGGCTCTGCCCGCCTGAATTTCAGCTCATTCCTGTGCAACCATCTGAAATTTGAGCTATGGTGGCCCTGCTAACACCACCCAGCTGGACAATAGTTGACCAAATCAGATGGAAAATTGTTGGTTAAGCCTGATAGGATACAGTCACTGTTTAGCAATGCCACTGTATCCAGGCAGCCACAGGTGCTTCATTTGCCTAAATACAGTAGCGAGTAGTGGAGAGTCCTCCATGCACACTGTTTAGTGTGAACAGGGGTATTGATTGATTTTTTTTCTGGTTCAGCCAATAGGGTGAACAGTAGAAAATCTAGCTGTGAATGGCTAGCTTTAATATGGTTGGTGATATGGAAAACTAAGGGGGTGAAAGTTACAGAACAGATGCTTCAGGATGTTCAATGTCAATTTTCCTGTGTGTTCCTCTTTGGATTGTTAATACAGTGGAACTGAGATTTAAGAAAAATGAAGTGATATTGCTGATTTTAGTACAGCTGCAATATTTGCTAAATAGTGATGATCAGATAAGATAGAAATGACCATAGTTTAGGTTAAATCTATTTTTTTCAAAATGTATAAATGCCGAAAGAAGGCAGCATCCCTAAAATACAAAATTACAGCTCTGCCAGTTAGCAGCTATTGTTGCATTGAAACATACCATATCTACAGTTTTCATGGTGAGGTATATGTCTTTATTCATTCAACAGAGTTCGTGAGGAAGAATCTGAAAAAGAGAAGAAAAGCAGGGAGGAAATGGAGAAGAGGATGCAGGCTGTCCTGTCTCTGAAGAAGAATATATCTACAAATCAGGTACTGTAGTGGGGAGCAGAAATCTCATCTGCAGATATTGGCTGGGGCTGGTTTTATTCTTGTCTGGAGAAGTATGGTATATTTCTGATGCACTTATTATACAATAACATGTTCTTTATATTGGCAGCATTTTCTGCACAGTAGTCATCCACTTTATTGTCTAAAGCGACTTTGTTGCTAAAGTGAAATTTTCATAAAAGCTCTCCCGGTATAGAAGATAATAGTTATATTATCCTTCTGCTCTTCAGAAGCTGACAGTTCCGGGAGTGTTGATCTCCTGGTTTTCTGGTTCCACCCATTCACCTCTAATTTATGGCTGGACTCAGGAGGGACGTGGAGGTCTTTGAGAGGTACCAAGAAGTGCTATGGGGGACCAGGAAGTGCGAGCATCTGAGAAGACTTCTAGAGATTGTTATTAAGTTAGTTCTGGCCTACATCTTATACTTGCCATGACCAAGTAACAGATGCAGAAAAGGTGAAGCTGTTGCTCCTAGCCACCAGTACATGTCTTGTTTCACTTCCCTAGATCATGAACAATAAGACCTGGATGGTTGCTAGGGATGTGATACCTACTTATTTTCCATTTTACTATCTTCCTATCAGCACAATACAGTGAAATGGTTTTATAACAACAGCAGCTGTGCACCTAGGTGGACATCTTTACTGTTATAGAACCCCATATAGAAGCAATGTTAATTCTGTTACATAATGATGGAATCTAATTGGTTATAATTTAATTGTGCATATAAATAGGAGACCTCCTCATGTGATTCATATCTACAGTTACAGCAATTGTGTGTGGGGGTCAGCTACTGCATGTTTATTTTAAAATGGCATCTTCTTAATATGATACAGGAAAACTTGCGTGTCATGGAGTCTCGAAACAAAGCACAGGCAGCCATCGTGAAGAAGCAAGAGATGCTGGAAAAAGAGGAGGTACTCGCTAAAGGTGGAGATTTTACAAAGTATATTATCCATCAAAAGCGACTTCAGGAGTTTGAGAGGAAGAAAAAGTAAGTGTGGTCTTGTGATCAGTTCACACTATGACAGTTTTTTTTTCTTTTTTTTTGCGCTGTCATGTTTATTCATATTGCAGCTGAATTAGTTTAAAAAACAGCTATGAATTTACATGCCAGCATCCCCTAAAGGAATTTTTTGTGTTACCGATATATTTTCCCAAACATCTTTTACAACTATTGACAGGTAAATATTGTAGGATTAGGGCTTTCAGTTGTAACTGATCCTTAGGTCTTGTTCACATGGGCTTCAACCTGAGCAGTGTGTACAGCAAGCATTTACAGATTCTTTTGGTAAGCTTTGTTGAAGATTTTACAGTATCATTCTGCTCCAGTTCCAGAATGTTAAACACAGATCTTAATAGGAGTTCCAAGAGTCACTTTAAACAAGCTACATGCAAGCTTCATTAAAGCGGACTTGCAGGAATTCAGCCACTTTGTGAAACGTGAAGTCACTCTGAGTTAAGTCCAAGGAGCTGCATGATATCTCCTGGGCATATTTCTATTATTTACAGGTGAAACTCGAAAAATTAGGATATTGTGCAAAAGTTCATTTATTTCAGTAATGCAACTTAAAAGGTGAAACTAATATATGAGATAGACTCATTACATGCAAAGCAAGATAGTTCAAGCCATGATTTGTCATAATTGTGATGATTATGGCTTACAGCTCATGAAAACCACAAATCCACAATCTCAGAAAATTAGAATATTACATATAATCAATAAAACAAGGATTGTACATAGAACAATATCGGACCTCTGAAAAGTATAAGCATGCATATGTACTCAGTACTTGGTTTGGGCCCCTTTTGCAGCAATTACTGCCTCAATGCGGCGTGGCATGGAAGCTATCAACCTGTGGCACTGCTGAGGTGTTATGGAAGACCAGGATACTTCAATAGCGGCCTTCAGCTCTTCTTCATTGTTCAGTCTCATGTCTCTCATCTTTCTCTTGGCAATGCCCCATAGATTCTCTATGGGGTTCAGGTCAGGCGAGTTTGCTAGCCAATCAAGCACAGTAATCCCACGGTCATTGAACCAGGCTTTGGTGCTTTTGGCAGTGTGGGCAGGTGCCAAGTCCTGCTGGAAAATGAAGTCAGCATCCCCATAAAGCTCGTCTGCGGAAGGAAGCATGAAGTGCTCCAAAATCTCCTGTTAGACTGCTGCGTTGACCCTGGACTTAATGAGGCACAGTGGACCAACACCAGCAGATGACATGGCTCCCCAAATCAACACAGACTGTGGAAACTTCACACTGGACTTCAAGCATCTTGCAGTGTGTGCCTCTCCATTCTTCCTCCATACTCTGGGTCCTTGGTTTCCAAATGAGATGCAAAAGTTGCTCTCATCAGAAATGAGAACTTTGGACCACTGAGCAACAGACCAGGTCTGTTTTTTCTTTAACCCAGGTAAGACGCTTCTGAGGTTGTTTGTTGTTCAGGAGCAGCTTGACAAGAGAAATACGACATTTGAAGCCCATGTCCAGAATCCGTCTGTGTGTGGTCGCTCTTGATGCACTGACTTCAGCCTCAGTCCACTCCTTGTGAAAGTCCTCAACACTTTTGAATGGCCTTTTCCTGACAATCCTCTCCAGGCTGCGGTCATCCCTGCTGCTTGTGCACCTTTTTCTTCCATACTTTTCCCTTCCATATAACTTTCTATTAATGTGCTTTGATACAGCACTTTGGGAACATCCAACTTCTTTTGCAATTACCTTTTGAGGCTTTCCCTCCTTATGGAGGGTGTAAATGATGGTTTTCTGCACAACTGTCAGGTCAGCAGTCTTTCCCATGATTGTGATTCCTACTGAACCAGACTGAGAGACCATTTAGAGGCTCAGGAACCCTTTGCAGGTGTTATGGCTTAATTAGCTGATTAGGGTGGGACACTTTGAGCCTAGAATATTGCACCTTTTCACAATATTCTAATTTTCTGAGATTGTGGATTTGGGGTTTTCATGAGCTGTAAGCCATAATCATCACAATTAGGACAAATCACAGCTTGAACTATCTTGCTTTGCATGTAATGAGTCTATCTCATATATTAGTTTCACCTTTTAAGTTGCATTACTGAAATAAATGAACTTTTGCACGATATTCTAATTTTTTGAGTTTCACCTGTATATCTGACAGGTTTATTTCTCTGCCAGGAATGTCCTATGCCCACCCCTTCCCTCTGCTACCCATTCAGAGAAGCTATTGTATTTTGTGAATGTATTCACATAATACCATAGCTTCTGTGATTGGCCAAGAAGAGGGGAGAGGCGGGCATAGCAGCTGCACCGACTCTCCTGTTCAAGAGGCATAGCTCAGAAGGATCAGCGTCGCTCTCTCGGAACTACAGCGATACTATAAAGCTGTCAGATATAAATATTGGAGATAAGCCCAGGATGTGTCATGCACCTCACTGGACTTAACTCATAGTGTGCCTTCATTTTTTACAAAGGAGCTGAATTCCTGGAATTCAACACTGCATGAAGCTTGTTGAAAGGCTGCTAAAGTTACAGTCAGCACTCTCATCAAATTTGTGCTTAATATTCTCAAACCAGAACTAAAGACTTCTTGAAGGTCCCTTTCACACAGGAACTAATATACTAGTGTTATACTGTTGGTGGATGGTTCCTTCTGTGACCCATTGCTGTGTATTCACCAGATGACCACCTATCAATGGATAAGCTGACTGTATTAATTTAGTAACATTTTCAATTTTGTTCAGAATCTAGTGTATTTCAGTCATATATGGAGTCTATTATGAATGTTTTGATTCACTTTTTTGGCATCTTGCACTAACTTCATCGTCAAGGACTTATTTATCTCTCAGGTTCAGCCAGTCTGGCATATGTCATATATTTGTCACTAGGTGCTGTTACAGCATAAATTGATAACACAATGCAAGTGCTGTGTTAGCTTTACAGATACAACAAAGCAATGATTAGGAATTTAATATTTACAGATATAGTTGTTGTACTGGGCACCTTACTGTTTTGTATAAACTGAAGTCTATTTCTACATTTTAGGCTTTTATGCGATTGTTCCATGATACACTGCACTATGCTGTTAAAGGAATCTATACAGGCATCAACAATTGTAAAAATCTGAATCTTCAGTCTTAAAGTGGTTTTAAACCACGGTCATGAAATATGAACAAAGCATATCCCTCTCTAGTGTGTACTTGTCAATTAAGAGAGAGAGAAAACAGGTGGCGCACACACCTAGTGCATTATCCAAGATTTATTGTAGGAGTGAAAGAATAATAAAAACATACTCACAGACGAAGCATGTATCTAAAAAGCATAGAAAAATGACAATGGCCACAACGGCAGGCAAGGTGTTCTCACTGTCAGTGCGGTCAAATGGCTGACGCGTTTCGGGGACGAATCCCTTTCCTCAGAGCTGATGACCAACCTTTAGGAGGCAATGGTTAAGTGAATGGATGAGACATATGAATATGGTGCATCAGAGGTATCTACACCATATTCATATGTCTCATCCATTCACTTAACCATTGCCTCCTAAAGGTTGGTCATCAGCTCTGAGGAAAGGGATTCGCCCCCGAAACACGTCAGGTCTGTTCCTGTGTGCAGTGTGAAGGGGGGGGGTGTCCTTTTCCTCCAATCAGTTCTCAGACCTCTCCTCACTGACTTCTGCAGGGTGTAATTTCAGCTCCTCACCCCGTTTTTTGACAGCTCAGACAAACATTATAAATTCTGCACTTTGAATGGATGTAGAGAAGAGAAGACTCCAGATACGCATGTACAACTTTTGTAGGAGGATTTGTTTTATATTTATATTACCTGAGACCGTCACTTCACTGGTTATATGAAAGGGTTTACAACCAATTTAAATTATTATATTAGTGCAGCTTTAGCTCTCTGAGACAAGTGTGAATGCTGTTATTAAAGGTTTGTGACTAGAGAGTGAGAAAACACATGCATTACATCTCTGCACTTCATGCACATTGCCATGTTTTGTCCCTTTAAAAAAAAACACTGCAGCTGCAGAAAAAATACCTGCTCATCTTGTCAGATATCAATTGAGGTCCTGGCTTTATGTATTAAGCGAACATAGATGCCTATGCTACCCTGAGTACCCAAGCAGTGTTGGCAGCCCTGTCTGAGCATGGCCCTGCTAGACTACAAATCTGCCCTCCATCTTATATTATGGAGATGAGGTGAGGGTGAGATGTTCAGTAGTCTCAAATAAGATTGACAACACTGCTGGGGATTTCAGTGTGAAGGTAGAAAATCTAATAGTGCTGTAGTGCAGCTTTCTCTAAGCATCTCCTATGCAACATAGGAGATGGTTAGAGAAGGCTGTATTTTTTTCTTCAGTTATTACAATATAGTTAAACCCAGTTAGTAACCTAATCTATTTGATACCTTTCTGTAACACAAAATGCAGAAATCATCCTTTCTTATACAATACTTACCCAACAGAGGTTCTCTGTTCTTTACAGCTCTTATCCAGCTGCCATAATGTGGGCAGGCCTGGATTTGTGTAGAGGAAATGCTACTGATTAGTTGCTTAGGCAGAGGCAGTCACTATCATCCCAGCAAGGAGAGGAGAGAAAGCCACGGGGATTTCAGATCCCAGGAGGTGTTCTCTTTTCTCCTACAGCTGAGAATCTGGAGCATTGCCATGACTTTCTCTCCTCTCCTACAGCTCTTTTCTCCTACAGCTGAGAATCTGGAGCATCTGCCCCCATCCTCCATTGTACGACACCAAGGTATACATCCCTACACGCCCTTCTTTCCCACTCTCCGCTCAGTATGGGATTGGTGCAGGGAGGTTTCCAGCACAACTCCTGCGTGAACTCAGGCTGTGACAAGCCTGGTTTCCACAGGAGCAGTGGGGAAACTGCATTCGATTTGGACAGGAATCGCATTCCTATTCATATCACGTTCTATTCCTTATGGTGCAATTTGCGTCCATACATTTTGTATTGACATAAATTGCACAGCAAAGTATCAGTACTTGTACTCGCCAATCAAAACATGGTATCGGTGCATCCCTAGTGGAATTAACACCGGGACCAGAGCCCAGGGTAAGGTGGTAAAATGGTTTTAGGCCTTCTTTAAGTACATATGTAGCCAATAAAAGGATTTCCTTGACTTATGCTTTAGGAAATGACCTCCCCAGCCAGAGTCTCCAGGTCTCCAGTTTCTGAATCTTGAATATAGCAGTAGAGTTGGGGTAAGGTTGGTAATGTTTTTTTTTAGCCTACAATAGAAAATGAGCAATCCGATTGGTTACATTGTGCATCCCAGACATCTTCTAACAGATTGCATAAATGCATAATTCACAGTTGAGCTATTCCCTTTTTAGCAAAAAGTAATGAGATGGAACATTATAATGTTGTGCACCGAATTACAGCTTTTCAAATATTTACTGAACTTAAACCATAAACACTGAAAATCCATTTTGCTGATTTTCTCTATATACTGTATACATACAGTAATATTATATATATACATATATCATGCTTCATGTGCAGCTAGTAATTTGTTTGATGTTTTCACACACAGGGAATTTGAAGAGTCACAAAAATTAAGAAAGCAAGAAATTATTAGTCGGATTTTACAAGAGGAAGCCAGCCAAGCGAAACAAAAAAAACAGAGTTCTTCTACAGAAATGAACAAGAGTCGGGAAAGCATGAAACTCCGAGCCAAAACCATGCAATATATTCAGTCAGCCATTTTAACAGAGCCCAGTGAGGAGCCGGCGGTTACAGTAAGTGCTCCCATATTGTGCAGACAGCTAAATAGTCTTTATAGCCCTTCCTCTGCATTTATGACCATAGATGCTACTTTAAAATTAAATTAGCCAATCAGTGATCACATGAATCAGGACTTCACACAGAGGTCCTGTACAGTGATCTGTGTTCCGCTGTGTCCAGAGTACACAGCGAGCACCAATTACGGTGCCGTGCGCTCCCAGGGAGCGCTCACAGGCAATGGATGTGGGGGGGATGTTTCGAAACATACACCCACATCGGCGGTGCTCCCGTCCGGCCGTTTATCAGCATGGGCCATAGCTCTTAGGTTGCACAGTCTTCCTTTAGGGGCAGCAGAGAAAGTTTTCCCCTTTACACATATCAGTGCAATAGATTTTTATTGACGGAGATGGCACTATGCTTTTTACATACTGTGCAGGTAGGAGAGTCTTAGATTTTTTTTTTTTCATTTACATGCTGTGGTGAAGCTACTTAAAGTGTAGGTCTGGCCAAAAAACACATTCAGTACATTACTCATTGTTTTGTGCCTTTAAAAACACTGCAAGTACAGAACACCTGTACATCTGCCAGAAACGCATTGAGGAATAAAAAATTAGAAATGTGCATGTGTTGCAGAGATGTACTGAATATGTTTTTCCTTTATTTTGTCCAGACCTTCACTTTAAATTGGAACTTCACTCTTTCAATCAACATTGAAAATGTTTAATCACAGGGCTTAAGAGCTACTAGCCAGGCCTTAAAAGTTACTTGCCACCAACAAACACACACAGAGACACCTGTACACACACACAGACATGTACATACACACAGACACAGACACACACACACACACACACACAGATAAACATGTGTGTGTAAGAGCTACTAGCCAGGCCTTAAAAGTTACTTGCCACCAACAAACACACACAGAGACACCTGTACACACACACAGACATGTACATACACACAGACACAGACACACACACACACACACACACACACAGATAAACATGTGTGTGTAAGAGCTACTAGCCAGGCCTTAAAAGTTTCTCGCCACAACAAACACACACAGAGACACCTGTACACACACACACACACACACACACATAAACATGTACACACACGCACAGAGACACGTACACACACACACATACAGACACATGTATACACACACAGGCACGTACAGACACGCATACACACAGATACAGGTACATACACAGAAATACACATGCACAGACACATGTACATACACACAGACACATGTACATACATACACAGACACATGTACATACATACATACACACACACACAGACATGTACACATAAGTGTACATGCAGGCACATGTACAGATACACACATGTACATACACACAGACACATGTACATGCATACACAGACACACACACACATGTACACACACACACACACACCCCTATAAAAAGTTGCAGTACTTCGTTCACTCACAGAGCCGGGTACTGCACTCTAGGGGGAGGCAGAGAGCACAGCACACACTCCTTCCTTTGCTTTCACTGCGCTAAGCTATTGAGCAGTCTGATGGCTCCCAGTGCCAATGACAGATCCGGCCTGAGCTCCGAGCCTGCTCAGCAAGACGGCCCTGGGGGACACACTCGCCCCCACCATAATTTCCACTCGCCATTGGTGAGCAGACGAGTGGAAATTTCAAGGCCTGTTTAATCGTATGCTGCTAGCATTTGTAAATAGATAGGAAGGTGTATTATATTTACTTGTTATAAACTTTTTTTAGCCATTTTTTCAGTTACTTCCTGGTTTCTATGCCTAGGCAAATGATGTCATACATCCTAGAAGTCTTCAGGAGAGGAGGAGGGGTTTTTTTTTAGTAGCTAAGCACACCCTCCTGTCTGCATGCCTGAGCTAAGGGCCGATGGATTCTAGGAAGCAAATGCTACATGAATTATCTGCCATTAGTCAAGATGGCCAGTGCCAGAAATGCTAGGGGGTGTTTTTGAAAGTGATTTATCAGAAAAATAAAGCATGGAGACCTGGATGGATGGGGGAGTTTGCTTTGAATACTAAAAATGAATGAAATGGTGTTTATGTTTTATAGTGTTCAGATACAGTGTAGATCGACTTTATTGAAAGTATGGTTTTTGCTGATTGCAGAACAGTAATTGTGCAAAGCCAGGGGTGTGAAAACAAAGATAGACTACTGCTCTGAGAGAGTTGAGCAACGAGATTGTGAAGTTTGGGTTTGTGTTGTAGCGCAGTTCAATAAACACACAAAGCGCAAGAGATTTAATAAAATATGTTTTGTGCACCTTCAGTTGAGTTCAATAATTTTTTTTTTCGGAATACAGGTCGTACCATGAAGAAACAGAGAAAAATGTACAATGCACTATTAGCCATTGGGATTTTAGCCACCAATAACATAAATCCATTCATAAACATGACAAGGAGTCCATAAATGTTTGGAGTAGTAAGCCTATAACAACTGAGAGAGGGGGAGTGAGCGCAGCTGGCTTCAGCTGTCAACCTCACACTGAGAGACGGAGCCAGCTTTCAATCAGGCAGCTGTGTAGATCCTGACAAAATGGTCAGGATCCCTCCAGAGCCTGGAATGGCTCTGTGATGTAGCAGATAAAACATCCATTTATTAAATCCTCATATTTTAGGAGCATGGATCACACATTTTAATATGAGGATTTAATAAGTGGATTTTTTAACTGTTACATTGATACAGTACAGTCAGCTTTCATTGTTCTTACATGTTGCCATGGTCACGGTTTAGACCAGCACTTGTTGATGTTCAGAGGGGAGGATGGTTTACTTGCTCACCTAGAGCGGTCTCTCTATCATTCTGTATTCATTGACAGCGGACTGTAGCCTGCTGTCGGATGATTCTGGGTGGCGGGAGAGCACTGTAAGTGCTCTCCTGTGACCCACATGAGAAGTATGGCGAAAAAGCTTTGGCAATACTTCTCTTTGGTGGATCCATTTTTAAAGATATTTTTGTGTGGTGAGTGAAACATTCACATAGAACTACAGAACACCTCCTAGGATAATAACACTTCACCTCCATAGATGCAGTATGATGGAAGAGCATTGTCAACCTAGGACAGGAAGGGGTTTATTTACTAAAGCTGGTGAATGCAAAATAAGGCTCACTTCTGCATAGAAACCAATCAGCGTCCAGGTCTTATTGCCAAAGCTTAAGTGAACAAGCTGAAGTTAGAAGCCGATTGGCTACCATGCACAGCTGCACCAAATTCTGAGTTCTCCAGTTTTAGTAAATCTACCCTTAAGTGTCACTGGCAGGATCACGAGATGAATATAAAGGAAAACGACCTTAAAAAATAAAACGAATGCAGCCACCACATCTGAGGACTGCTGTACTGTGATATCTTACATTTAGTTTTTTTCTTTTAGATATATTGTGATTTTTAATTTTAAAAAAAGTAAACCGGAATGTTATTTAGGTAACTGTGGTCACAAAAACAACCAGATCTCTTCTATTTGAAATTACAGTGAGCCATTGAGTTTTATATCAAAGCTCACTTAATTTTTGACTCTATCAAGACAAAAAAATGCAGTGAGGCTTCATAATACCCACTTAGTGTATAGTTTAATTAATTTGAACAGCAGGCTTTATAGTTTTGATAGTTTTGATACAGACTGAATTGAACACTGCACAAATAGACTGAAAACTGCTTCTCGTTTTGCATTTCACTGACTTTCAGTATAATCTTGTTATTCCACTCACTTCACTATAGGATAGATAAAGCCATGTGCAGATAAATATTTCAAACACACTCAGCAACTAAATCTGAACTCTAGGCAGATATAAAGACACAAATGTGTGCAACTCTATATTCACTAACACAACATTACATGTATTTTTTTCAAAACACAAACCGTGTAAGTACCTGAATTTCTGAGCGGAGCTCAGAGTGGAAGAAGCAGAAACAGCACAATGGGGTTGATTTACTAAAACCGGTGAGTACAAAATCTGGTGCAGCTGTGCATGGTAGCCAATCAACTTCAGCTTGTTCAATTGAGGTTTGACCAAAAAAAACCTGGAAGCTGATTGGTTTCTATGCAGAGCTGCACCACCAGACCAGGAGGAGAGAGGAAAGTGTCAGAGAAATGAACTCAACTGTATGCTGCTTTTTTCAATGTACTGTAACAGGGTGGGGTTGGGGAAAAGACCTGTAAGAAAAGTAAAATTGCAGCAGAAAATTATCAGGTCACCTCCCCTGCCAAACACAACTGTGCTGTCTGGCAGGGTGGTGTAACTTTTAGAACTGGATGGACAGAACTACAAATCCTTTGGCAGTTAAAACAGTATATGTATGTATATACAGCAGGTAAAATAAGTATTGAACACGTCACCATTTTTCTCAGTAAATATATTTTTCTAAAGGAGCTATTGACTGGAAATTTTCACCACATGTCAGTAACAACCCATGCAATCCATACATACAAAGAAAGCAAAACAAATAAGTTCAGAAATTAAGTTATGTGTAATAAAATGGATGGACACAGGGAAAAAGTATTGAACACACTAACTGAAACTTATTTAATACTTCGTACCAACAAATCCTTTGTTGGTACTGACATCTTCAAGACGCCTCCTGTATGGAGAAACTAGTCACGTTGCATTGCTCAGGTGTGATTTTGGCCCATTCTTCCAGTCTTCAAATCTTGAAGGTTCCGTGGGCCTCTTCTATGAACTCTGATCTTTAGTTCTTACCACAGATTTTCTATTTGATTCAAGTCAGGTGATTGGCTGGGCCATTCTAGCAGCTTTATTTTCTTTCTTTGAAACCAGTTGAGAGTTTCCTTGGCTTTGTGTTTGGGATCATTGTCTTGCTGAAATGTCCACCCTCGTTTGATCTCCATCATCCTGGTAGATGGCAGCAGATTTTTATCAAGAATGTCTTGGTCCATTTTTCCATTCTTCCTTCCTTCAATGTTTTGACGTTTGCTAGTACTGTATGCTGAAAAGCAGCTCCACACCATGATGCTGTCACCTCCAAAC